CTATATTATCCAAAGCGGATACTGAAATAATGTTTCTATAAATAGAAGGTACATAATAACAGTACGTAGTTCCAGCAACAAGCCCGTAGGCAAAGATAAATAGTAAGTCCCTATAGCTAATACAGCCACATGTGCTTCATTTCCAACTCGTAGGTCCACTTCTCCCTTCGCGAACACTCTACTCTACCTTAGTCCCTGCACATCAGTACAAATGTGAGTACCACATCCTGTGTCAATGACCTAAGATGTTGAAGGAGAGAAGTTAATCTCAATCATAAACATACCTAAAGTCGAAGCATCTGACTTCTTCTTATTTGCGAGGAAAGCCTTGTAGTGCTTCCTCTAGCGGCCAGACTTGCCACAATAGAAGCAGACTACCTTCCCACCTTTTCCAATGCCACCTTCAAGCTTGAGAGTATCCTGTCCTTTGGGCTTGGGCTTAGGATTGGCCTTGGCCTTTCCTTTGCCCTTACCCTTTCCTTTGTCCTTACCCTTTCCTTTATGGGCAGCTACCGGTAAAATAGGCTTGGACTTCTTCAAGTCCTACTCTGCAGTCCTTAGCATGTTCAAAAGCCCCGACAAGGTTTTCACCATTGTGTTTATATTGAAGTTCATTATGAATGGTGCATAAGAGTCAGGCAACGATTGCAGAGTTAAATGCACTTGTAATTCTGCATCCAACTCAAACCCCAAAGTCTCAAGCCTCTCCATGTGCTTGATCATTTTGAGCACATAAGGGCAAACTTGGGCTCCCTTAGTCAGGCGATTTCCAAACAGTGCTTTTGACACCTTGTACCTCTCATGTCGAGCATTCCCTTTGTAAAGCTCCTTGAGGTGTAGAATAATGGCAGCAACGTCCATATTCTCATGCTGCTTTCGCAGCGTTGGTGTCATCGATGCTAACATCAAGCATTGAACGCCATCAGCATCATCAAAGAGCTTTTGATAAGTATCCTTTACTTTCTGAGTGACATCAGGATCAGGCTTAGCCATGTATGGCTTATCAAGGATATACAATTTCTTTTCAGACTTAAGTATAATCCAAAGATCATGATACCAGTTTGAGAAATTGGATCTATCCAACCTATTTTCTTTCTCGATTATTGGTCATAGGTTCATAATGCTCATTTTTAAGTGAATCTACAATTCAAAAAAGTAAAGTCAATATAATGTCTATTATTTCTTAAAATGGTCTTTTATTAAAAACAACCCTCCCACTATTTTCCTCAAGCTAATAGCCCTCACTATTAACTCGGGAAAGCCCGTTGGCTTTCCTAGTGGATTGAGATCCCATTTGGCCCATTTCAAACCTTCTCTGTGGTGAACAAGCCAAAATGGGTTGATTAGGTAGGCCAACAAACTTAATCCACACCAATTGGTAGCTCCTACCACCAACCTCAAATGTGAAGCAAGCCAACAAGCCAATCACACAATCCAACGGCCTAACCGTCGTCCTCAAGTGTGATTCCCAGTATCAATAGAGTGGACACTACATGTCGCCACGTACACAGAACATGTGCACTTCTCTACTATGCGTATGACGTGTTTATTTACCTTCACTGTGGCGAACAAGTAAAACTATCATTTTAAGTTGACCCATCACCATTAAGGAAAACTCCAATGAATTTTAACTTCCCACTGGTAGAAGTGTACCCTTTGCTGTGGCGAACAAGGTTCCCATGAACAGTGGTTTAATTAAAACCATGGTGATGGATGGCATACGTGACTTAATATACTTTATTTGAGGGTTTTTATTTAATGCCTCACCAGATTATTATCTTTGTTAGAATGACATTGTTTGGCATGTTATTGAACATTCAACCTTAGCATGCATTCTAAACAAAAATTAAACGTGCCGATACATGGCCCAACTAAAACCGATTTCCTCGAGCCTAGAGAATCAGTAGGTCAACCTAGGGTTTGAAAGTAAATCTTCGGTCTTCAAGTTATTCCTCTTCATAGCTCCTTCGTTTCTTCTTCACGATCATTACAAAGAACGTTATCTAATTTACATCAATAGATTAGAAACCTCGCGTTACATACGAGGGGAGTGAGATGAGAAGAAGAAATACATGGAGATATAAGAAAGAGAGGCAGGACACGCTGGTCCTATTTCTTTATAAAATTACAAACAAACCCTATAAGCAATAAACAATAGGTCTAAGGCTCATGTACCGGGCACCATGCAATTATCAAATAAGAACATTGCATACATTAAAAAATAATCAATTTTGAATTTGGGTGGGTGAATTATTAATTACCCTCTGATAATTTGTAAATCTACGTTTGGTCTAAAAGTTTTGAAACTTTTCACTTTGGCCCCTACGCACTCGAGAGCACGCTCGCCATGGCGTGCGCTGGTCATTGTCACGCATGCGTACTATGTGCGATCGCCACGGCAATGGGTTATATCGTTGTGGCGAGCGTTGATTTTTTTTAGCGCTTTCTTTACATCACGATTGTCGCAGTGATGGGTTATATCATCACGACAAGCACTGATACTCAATCAGAGATTGTGCTATAGAACAATTGTTGTGATGATGGATTATATCACTGTGGCGAGTGCTAATTTTCAATCAGCGTCTGCACAAGACAACGATCGCCGCGGCGATGGGTTATATCGCCGCGGTGAGCATGCACTGATCTGTAACAGATCAATTCAACCAGCCACCAAAATATGCCAAATAGTTTATGCAATCAATCTCATGATCTGATCTCAACAAAAATCCAATTCCCTATTTACCAATCTTGCAGATCATCAACAAATTTAATTAATCAAGTATATTGAATCAATTGATTTCTCAAAAACATGCTCTAAGCAAAATTTACACAGATTTAACAAATCAACATGTTATCGAATATACATTAGATTGTAGATCTGGTACCTGAGGCTCTGATACCACTGTAAGGAAACAATCTAACCCATGGTAGCGGAAAACAAAAAAAAAACAGCGATCGATTCCATTTTAAGCCAAGATCAGTGATAATCCGTAAATTATACAGTTTTTATTTAATCTTTTTGTCGGATTTCAGGTACTTTCTAGTGCATTTTTACCTGAATTGGTGCGTAATTCTCTACTTTTTGTGTTTCAGGTTAAAATGGACTCTTTTAGTGAATAAAGACAAAATTTGACAAGTTTTGACTCAGAATTGAAGGATTTCAGAAGTTAGGAGAGTTCCGGAGTAGGACAATGCACGATGAAGCTTGTTTCCAAGGTGGAGAGTCGAAAATCGAAGAATCGGACGAAGAGGCAAGCAGATGGCATTTCTGAAATTTCAGAACTCTTGAAGAAGCTTCGCCCGGCGAAGAAATGTCTTCGCCGCGGCGAAATGGGCAGAGTCGAATGTGGATTTTTCATTCTTCGCCGCGGCGACAGTTAAAAGTTTCAGTTTGTAAACGCACAGTTTCGTGTGTGCGTGTTTTGGACTGGGTTTTTAGGAAGGTATAAAGGAAAAACTTTAACTTTTTAGAGAGGGAGTCCCCGAGCTGTTAGGTTAGCCGTCTTTGCATTTCTAGAGAGAAAAGCTGGATTTTTGGATGTTAGAGAACAAGTTCAGATTTTGACTGGAATAATTATCTTTTGGGGAGTTTTCTATTCTTTCATCTTAATTTCATTATGTATTCTGTTTAGTATTTTCCGTTTTATTCTGTTAAATAGCTATGAAATAATCTTCTTTGGGTTAGGGTTTTGATTGTAGTTTGGATTTGAAATGGGTTGAGTTTATGTTTGTGCTATTTCATGTGAATAAGCTATGGTTGTGTTTACTCTGAATTAAGTGTTGTATGTGATGAACATGATGAGATTGAGAAATAATTCATGTTAAGCTTCATGGGTAATAACCATTATAGTATTGGATGCTAGAGATAGATTCAAGAACTAATGAAATCAATTTAGGATTCTTGTGCTTCATGATTTAGAGTTATTAACCTTCAATTTGTTGGGGGCGGAATGTTAATAAGGATAAATAGGAAAACATAGCCCGAGAGGGTATGTTATCATAGTAGTGAAACCGATTTACAACCATGCATGTAAATGTGAAAATAGTGGAACTTTTAGGTATAACCCATAAATAATCCAAACGAAGTCAAAACCCTACCCGTTTAATTACATTGAATCTCTGAATTCCATTTCCTTTTTTTTCACGAATTTATACTTGTTAGATTTTATTTTTGTTTTTCTTTCAATTACAAATTGCTCCCACAAATCCAAGATTTTCGATTACTTCAACTTGTTAACACCATAGGAAACTTAGTGCTTTGCTACCAATCCTCGTGGGAACGATATCCTACCCATCACTCTATTATTGAGCGACTAGTGCACTTGCTAGTTTTTGCATGTTGTAGTAAACAAGCATCAAGTTTTTGGCGCCGTTGCGCGGGGACTGTTTTAAGTTAACATTAGGTTTTTCCTTGAGTTTAATAGATTGAAGTTTTAATTTTTGTTTTAATTTTTGTTTGAGTGTGATTATATTTTCTTTCAATTGTGTTCATCCAGTTTATGCGAAGAGCAAGACGTCAACCAGTGGTTCCTGTTGACCTTGAGCTTGAGAGGACTGTACGAAGACTAAACAGAGAGAGAAGAGAAAGAGATCCACCTACTGCAGAAACGGAAGAAATTGTAGTTGAAATGGCTGAACCAGAAAATAGGACACTGAGGGAATTTTCAGTTCCACAGTGAACGGAAGTGGGTCAAGTTATACGAGACCACAGCAAGCTAACAACTTCGAGATTAAGCCGGCAATCATCCAGATGATCAGCAGTCGGTAAGATTCAACGGTGATTTGAAGGAGGATCCGATCAGCACATTGTAATTCCTGGAAATTTGCGGACCTTCAAGTCGAATGGAGTGTCGGATGATGCTATTAGGCTGCGTTTATTCCCATTCATTGGGAGATAAAGCAAAGGGGTGGTTAATGGCACTACCACCGGAACGATTACAACATGGAATGATCTGGCACAAAATTTTTTGACCAAGTTCTTTCCTCCAGCGAAGTCAGCAAAGTTGAGAAATGATATCAATCGTTTCTACAAGATGAAGCCGAGTCGTTGTATGAGGCTTGGGAGGATACAAGGAATTGATGAGGAAGTGCCCACATCATGGTTTGCGGTTTGGCTTCAAGTCCAAACATTTATAATGGTTTGATGGGTAACGTGCAAACCATGGTAGATGCAGCTTCAGGAGGGGCTTTGCAGAATAAGACCGCAAGAAGCTTATGAGTTACTTGAGGTGTTGGCAAGCAACAACTATCAAAGACCGAATGAAAGAGTAACAACGAGAATGTCGGGTCTTCATGAAGTAGATGCTTTCACAGCCATCTCAGCCCAACTCACTGCCTCCAAAAAAGTTGGGAAATATGCAGGTAAATTCTATACAAGCACCTCAACTAACATGTGATTTTTGTGCAGGAAACCATGTGAGCAGTGAGTGCCAAGTCGGAAACACATTTGCACCGTCGTTCATCAAAGGAGCAAGCAAATTACTTGGCAGGAAATCAAAGACAGCCGAACAATCCGTTCTCCAACACATACAACCAGGGTGGAGACATCATCCAAATCTGTCTTGGGGAAATCAAAACCAACAGGGTAACCAATGGAACCAGAGGCAAGTTCCAAATAACCACCAGGGGTGACCAATCAAGGGTGATCCAAGAGTGTCAAAGTTGGAGGATTTGTTCGGTAAATTCATGCAAGAGTCTACAGGGTTCATGAATGAGACGAGGACAAACTTTAGAAACCAAGGGGCGTCCATCGGAATCTTGAGGTACAGATGGGCCAATTGGCTGAGAAGCTGAATGATAGACCACAGGGTTCTCTACCAAGCAACACAGTGACCAACCCACGTGAACAAGCAAATGCAATCATTTTGAGAAGTGGGACAGTTTTAGAAGAAGTAGGCCAGCTGTGAAAGAAGGGGAGCAACCCGGAAAGGAAGAGTTGGAAAGAGGAATTGACGAAGAGATTAATTGTGAAGAGAATTCAGGTGCTTTAGGGGAAGAGAACAAGAAAGAGGATGAAAAGCAAAAGAAAAAAGAGAAATTGCCATCCCGAGATACCACCAGAATTGCATCATCCACTCCACCCGTACCTTTTCCTCGAGAGAAGAAAGAAGAATCAGGATAAGCAATTTTCAAAATTATTGAAATCTTTAAAAAATTGCATATTAACATTCTTTTGCAGATGCAATACAGCAAATGCGAGTTATGCGAAGTTCTGAAGGAGATACTTTCGAATAAACGGAAGCTAGAAGATGAGGAAACGGTGATGCTAACGGAAGAGTGCAGTGCAATCCTCCAGAAGAAACTACCCCCAAAGCTCAAAGATCCAGGGAGTTTTACTATTCTTGTGTTATAGGGATATTACTTTGATCGTGTGCTTTGTGATTTAGGAGCTAGTATAAATTTATGCCTTTCTGTTTTCAGGAGATTAGGAAATGGTGAAGTGAAGCCACGACAATGTCGTTGCAACTAGCGGATCGGTCGATAAAGCACCCGAGGGGGATAGTTGAAGATGTTTTAGTGAAGGTGGGAAAAATAATATTTCCAGCGGACTTCGTAGTGCTGGAATGGAAGAGGATAAGGAGATTCCTCTCATTTTGGGCCGACCATTCTTGGCCACGGGAAGAGCACTGATTGACGTGCAGGAAGGGAAGTTGCTGTTAAGGGTTCAGGATGAAAAGTAACTTTTAATGTGTTTGATGCAATGAAGTTTCCGTCGGAATCGGATTCATGTTTAGTGTGGATGTGGTGGATGATCTTGTTATGGAGTCCATAGAAGAAAATATCCCGAATTGCCTCTAGAAGCATGTATAGCAAAATCGAAAACAGTAGAGGTTGAAGACTCAGCAAGGAACGATTGTGCTAGAATGTTAGAAGCACTCCAACCAATTGAGGAGAGTCAAGATACGGAATTTGAGGAATTTGACTTTGACAAGGAAAAGGCAAAGGAAGATAATAAAGAAGCCCCACGGCTTGAACTGAAACCTTTACCGCCTCACCTCAAATATGTCTATCTTGGAGACTCAAATACTTTCGGTGATTATTAGTGCAGATTTGAGTGCCTTAGAGGAAGAGAAGTTGATTAGAGTGTTGAGGGAACATAGATTGGCAATTGGTTGGACCATCACGGACATCAGAGGATCTCACCCCATTTTGCATGCATAAGATTCTCATGGAAGATGACTTTAAACCGAGGGTACAACCACAACGGAGATTGAATCCTTCAATGAAGGAAGTGGGTGAGAAAGGAAGTGGTGAAACTCTTAGACGGGAATAATCTATCCGATTTCCGACAGTCCATGGGTGAGCCGGTGCAAGTTGTTCCTAAGAAAGGAGGGATTACCGTTGTGAAGAATGAAAGTAATGAGCTGATTCCAACAAGGACGGTAACGGGTTGGAGAGTATGCATTGATTACCGTAAAAGAACGAAGCGACAAGGAAGGATCATTTTCCATTGCCCTTCATCGATCAAATGTGGAGAGGTGGCAGGACATGCATTACTGTTTCTGGATGGTATTCAGGATATAACCAAATTGCCACGCTCCGGAAGATCAAGAGGAAAACGACCTTCACTTGCCCCTACGGCACCTTTGCATACCGAAGAATGCCATTTGGATTATGCAATGCACCAGCAACATTCCAAAGATGCATGATGTCAATCTTTGGAGACATGGTGGAAAGATTCATCGAAGTCTTCATGGATGACTTCTCAGTTTTTGGGTATCATTTGACAATTGTCTAACAATTGTCTCTTGTTTGCAGCGTTGCAAGGAAACGAATTTGGTGCTGAATTGGGAGAAATGTCACTTCATGGTACAAGAGGGAATTGTGCTCGGGCATAGAATTTCCAAGGATGGGATTGAAGTTGATCGGGCGAAGACAGAAGTAATTGAGAAGCTACCACCGCCATCAAATGTCAAAGCAGTCCGAAGCTTTTGGGGCATGCGGGGTTTTATAGACGCTTCATAAGGATTTTTCTAAGATCTCTAAACCCCTGTGCAATCTTTAAATAAAGATGTTGTTTTTGTTTTGATGATGATGCTGCATGCTTTCCTAACTTTAAGAAATTGCTAGTTTTCACCTATTATTGCAGTCCCTGATTGGGGACTACCATTTGAACTAATGGTGATGCTAGTGATTTTGCTTTAGGGGTAGTGCTAGGGCAGAAAAAATAAAGGTTGCATGTAATTCAGTATGCTAGCAAGACACTTGTCGATGCACAACTGAATTACACCACCATGAAAAAAGAACTATTAGCTGTGGTATTTGCTTTTGACAAGTTTCGCTCTTATCTTTTAGGTGCGAAGGTAATCGTTTACACAAGACCATTCAGCACTCAGACATCTTTTGGCGAAGCAAGAAGCAAAACCTCAGTTGATAAGATGGATTCTACTGCTTCAAGAGTTTGAGTGGAAATTCGAGACAAAAAGGGTTCGGAAAATGTAGTAGCTGATCATTTGTCAAGAATTAGAGACCATCAAGGGGGATGAGGTGGAAATGCCAATTTCAGAAACATTTCCGGATGAAAAACTGAAGAGAGTGGATGAAGCACCATGGTATGCGGACTTTGCAAATTATCTATCATCAAGGGTGCTCCCAAGTGGTATGACATTTCAACAGAAGAGAAAATTTTTCTCTGATTTAAAATACTATTTTTGGAAGAGTCATTCCTGTACAGACACTGTACTGACCAAATGATACGGAGATGTGTCCCGGAGGAAGAAATGGAGAGCATTCTGAGACATTGTCATGAGAGAGAAGTGGGTGGTCATTCGGAGGAGCTAGAACCGCAGCGAAGGTGCTACAATCTGGGTTTTATTGGCCAACCCTCTTTAAGGATTCCTTCCGGATGATCCAGGAGTGTGACCAATGTCAACGGATGGGGAGTATTTCGAAAAGAGATGAGATGCCGTTGAACAACAATCCTGGTGGTTGAAATTTTTGACGTTTGGGGGATTGATTTCATGGGTCCTTTCCCAAGTTCAATAGGGAACATGTTTATATTGGTAGCTGTGGACTATGTGTCGAAATGGGTTGAGGCAGTTGCATTGCCAACTAATGATGCTGGGTGGTGATTAATTTGTGAGGAAGAACATTTTCTCAAGGTTTGGAGTACCACGAGCGATTATTAGTGATGGAGGAACGCATTTTTGCAATAGGCAAATGGATGCATTGCTGAGTAAGTATGGAGTGACACATAGAGTGGCAACCACCTATAATCCACAAACGAGCGGGCAAGTAGAATTGTCAAATAGAGAACTGAAAGGGATTTTAGAGAAAACAGTCAATGCCTCGGGGAAGGATTGGTCAAGGAAGTTGGACGATGCTTTATGGGCTTATCGCACTGCATTCAAAACCCCAATTGGTATGTCTCCGTTCAGATTGGTGTATGGGAAAGCATGCCACTTGCCGGTGGAACTTGAACATAAGGCATATTAGGCCGTCAAGCAGTTGAACATGGACTTAAAAGCCGCGGGAGAGGAGAGAATGCTGACTTTGAACGAGCTTGATGAGCTTCGTCTGGAAGCATATGAAAATGCCCGGAATTATAAAGAGGAAAACAAAAAGGTGGCACGACAAGCACATCCGGGTCAAGACTTTTGAAGTTGGGCAGAAAGTGTTGTTGTTCAACTCTAGACTTAGGCTTTTCCCCGGAAAACTTAAGTCTAGATGGTCCGGACCGTTCACTATAACGAGGATACATGCATCCGGAGCAGTGGAAGTCACACATGAGGAAAATGGCACTTTACGGTTATGGACAGAGGTTGAAGCCATAGTAGGGGTGATGAGTTGCAATCATCCCAATCCGGCTGGACACCCAACCTAAAGGATAGAAAGAGTCAAGCTTCCGACTTAAACAAGCGCTTCTTGGAGGGCAACCCAAGTGTTTTAACTTTTTGATTTTAATGTTTGTATTTGAATTTTTTTATTCATATTGAGTTTGTAAAAATTGATGATTTGTTGTTTTCAAGTGTTTCAGGTGAAGTCTAAAGCAAAGGAAAGTATCAAAAATTTCTAGACTTCGCCCCGGCGAAGAAAATTTTTCGCCGCGGCGAAGAAGAAAGAAAAAAAATACAGCTGCTTCGGGAAGATTTCGCCCGGCGAAGTA